AAAGTATATTATTTCGGACACTAGTGTTGAAACTCCAGGACTCCTGAGAGGCATAGCTTATCGATCCCACAGTTTCTATACTCCCCGACAGAAGCGGCAGTTCTTTCAGAATTGTCATCAATAGTGAACTCTAAATAGTTTTTAGTTAGTTAACTTTGAATTTATAGTCTATTATCTAATGGTGTCATACCTTTCCCGCCCCCACCGGTCCGATAATAGCCAATAAATTCCCGGGTTTTAAATGCACCGAAATATTATGTAGGGTTGGATACGGGCTTTCCTATTATTTATTTATAAATTATAACATGTTAATAGTTGTGTAGTTGTTTAGCATGTTTAAAGATATTATTTCATACATTATTCCATTTGGCTGTTATGCCATTAATGGACACTTCGGGCGATTTATTTGAATTGCAAATGGATTTTATTTGTGTTTCTCTTAATTGTAAAAATTTCTAAACAATTTTAATTAAATGTTGTTATTATCATATAACTTTTACAGTGTAAAATTTACACTATGGTTAATATTACTTGTATTCTATTGCAAGAAACTAATAACTCGGCGCCAAACATGATTGTCCGTGGGAAGTACCAGGTCATACTGTATCTTACGTTCATAAATAGCATCATTGATACAAATACTGCCTTTGCGGTCAGTACATTACTGGTGAGTACCAAGGTGATAAAACTGGAAACTAACATCAGGTTTGAAGCCGTAATATTAAGAGACACATTTATTGCCTTTAAAAAGCAAGACTTCTGTATATACGACACTTCCTGTCTAATTGTTTTAAAATTATATTATGGGATATACATGTAAGTAATTAACAAATTTTATATTAATAAATTCTGGTCATTTACTTTCGTGCCTCAGCCACGAGGTCTGCGAAGGGCTGTTCCCAGGAATACATTTTGATGACTCGCATACCGGATATGATCTCAACCATATATTGCAGCCTTTTGTCGGTGAGCTTTGCTGTCATTTGTCTAAAAAATTACTAAAAAGTAATTAATTTTAATTTTAAGTAATTAATAGAATAATTGACAGGCAAATATTCTATTATAAAATACAATATTAACATGCACATACCTAACTCTTGAAAACATTTTACCCATGAACAATTGAAAGACTATAAGTAAAACTATAAAACCAACTGGCACCAAACTTGCCCATCCCATGTATGTGTACATTATATATATTGTGATAGCTGTCTGAATGGGCGCTATTATAAAATAACTGGCAAATATTGCAAACTAAAAAGGAATTATTATAATAAATATGATAATTAAAAGTATAAACATATTGAATTGTTTGATCGTGCAATTCTAAAACAATCCAGATCACTAAATTCTAAGAATGATTATGTGTCATACTTAAAATTAATTAAATAAGTTTACAATTTTTGAGTTTAGCAGATATAAAGTAGATAGCACACTGTTCATTCATATTGTGAGCATTGACCTTAATTATTTACAAAATTTATTCATAATGTAAATTCATAATTTATAATCTATTATGTAAATTAATAAAAAGTATAATTTAAAATGAAAATTATTTGAATGGACAAAATGTGCTAGGCATAACCGCTGCTTTAATGCAATTCTATAAACATAATAAATTAATTTAAACTGTGAATAATATAATTCATGATAAAATATTATATAATATCCCCAGAATTTTATGATCTAGATTGTTTTATAAATGCATAATTAACAATTTTATATGTCTAAAGTATTCAAATTCAAGTTGCCATATAGAATAATTCCTTTTCCAGATAAAATAATTATCAAATTTATGAATTTAGAAGATTGACTTAAAATTTAGTAGTTATATACATGTACCTCATCAAATCTATTTGCATCGTTAGACATTAAGTTTATAATCTGACCCACAGTTGTCTTTCCCATTGATAACTGATTCAGTTTAAGTAACTATTTTTAAAATCACATTGAAATATATTATATGTACAGTATATTCAAAATATTTTAACAGACCTTTTTATACATTAGGGTACAGCAGGCACTTCGAGCGCGCATTCCCACTTGTTTAAAAAGATTCAAAGTGGCATTGTAAAAGACTATGAATAATAGGGCGCACAAACAAACACCCCCGGCGGCCATACAAGCATGGTCATGTTTTATGAGGTCAGAGCTATAAAAATAATCAATAACATATCCGAGTAGTATAGGCTGTGCCAAAAGGACCACACATTCCTATAATAAATATATATTTGTAAAATACAGTAGCAAGAGGCTAGGTGCACTTCTAAGTAAAAATAATATTTTAATATGCTTTGTAATTTATACCTTATTCATGGCATAATCATATATAATCAAATCTATTATATAAATAATAATATGATAATTTTTATAAATAACTCACAATTAATAAAAGCAATATGAATGGTAAAATCGAATATTTAGCAACAGTCCTGAATAAAGCAATATACAATCTTGGTGTTTTTTTCTTTAGTTCAATGTTCCAATTTCTGAAAAATATAGTATAATGTCATTTAGCATAAAGTAATTGTAATTATAATTTTATTTATATTATATGAATGAGAACATGCTCATTTGAAAATGAAATAAATAAGTTATTCTCAAAACCTCTCTAAACATTGAACCAAATACTCGGAGGCGTCGTATTGTGAGCACCGATACATGTCGTCAAAATCCAAACGATTATTTCGCATACCTTTCATAAATAGAGGATATATCCACCTAGGGCATAAAATTGTTACAAATAAATTAACCGATACAGATAATTTTATACTATCATAATAAAGTAACTTTCACCCGGCGACAATTTACAAACTAAAATGTATACTCACGAAAGAATCAGTTTTTGAATCCAGTTGGAATTGTCCCATGGTGAAGTTTTATTGATTTTAGGTTTAACAAACATAATTACAATTATTTTATAAATTTTATGTGACTCTTAAAGTATATTTTCTTATGTTTGTATTATGGTATTTAACTCCATATTAAAAATGTTTGCTAATTAAATATGACTTTTGTGTGTAAATGTAGACATGTCTAAACGATCCGCACGTATTGTGCGGCAAAACGTTTTTAATTACAATTTTAATTAAGTGAAATGAGAGAGAAAACTAAACAACCATAACGATCGTAAATGTTAGATGTTAGATCGGTAGATGTTTATGTAGCAAGTTCTAAACCCTAATACCAATTAATTGTTGTATATTCAGCAAATACAAGTCACGTATTTTTCAATGATTAAAACAATTAGACAATCAATAAACTCTTTAATAGTAAGTTTAAAATATACAGTAGAGGGTATGCATGTTATACAAGGAGTGCCCTTATCTATTAATGATTGTTTATTTAAAAATACTGTTAAATCGTTTATTACACGAGATTCGCGCTATGTATGAGATATTACGGTACATATGTTAAAATAAAATATTAAAAATTTGAAATTATTTTACTTAGTTATTGTAGTTAAAATATTAATTGTCAATAATTTGTATATTTTAATGCTATAAATTAATAGCATCATAACCATGTTTTTAGAAGTTGATTAAACATACATAGGTATCTTGTTTTAGCATTTATTATTTAAAAATTATGTAAAGAACAAAACAGTGAAAAATAATTAAAACACTAATTATATTATTTTATTTAAATTTCTTATTACAGTGTAATAAAAAATAAATAAAAATCTACCAAGAGCATTTCATTAGATTATACTGATTGTGATCGAATATAAAATAAGTTAAACATTATACAGTATGTAAGTTAATAATTAATTTAATTTAAGTTAAATTTTCATTCATATTTTGGAGCCAACTTTGCCAGAACTGCTATTTTAATCATTGTCTTCGTCGTTGACTTCTGTAGTATTAAATCTCTTAAGATGTGATTCTTTGGCCATATTTAGTAAATGATTGAACATATGTTTCCCAGTCTTGCGGCACATGTCATACAACTGTCCCTTTCGTTGCAGTAAAACAAACGGTTCGTCAAACTCTATGATCTCTCCCGCGTCTAATACCTGTGAACGAGAGATACAAATCACACATTAATTAGTTTTAATTATCTAGTAATTAATTTGAATAATGATTGAAATACAGACCAAAACGCGATCGCAATCTATAATAGTGTTGAGTCTGTGAGCGATCGTAAGGACAATACAGTCACTGAATTTGTGACGAATTGTGGTCTGAATTAAGGCATCGGTTTGATGGTCAACATTAGCGGTCGCCTCGTCCAGCACTAGTACCCTA